GATGGGCTTTATATTTTTCCTAAAAGCTTTGCTGCCAAAGCTCCTAAGGGATTCTCTCTTCCCCAGGACTATTTGTAAAGAAAAGCTGAGAGAAATAAGCAAGTAAAGCACATCAAGTAGCTGCAACATTATAACAATTAAAAATTTCACAAGTTAACAGTAACATTTCTCAAAAATTTAGCAGACTTCCAAATCTGCCTTTGACCAATATGGGAAAGACTATACTAATGAGATGTGCAACTTCCAAACTTGTCACTTTGGGGAAAGGTTTATAGGAATATACCTTATAACAATTATATATTTTATAAATAATATCTAGAAATAGCTCATGAAAAATACTTAGGAGGCCTATTCTTGTAAAGCTAAATTTAATTACTGCTACTTCAACTTGGATGAGCAGAAAAAAAACAGGCCATAATAGCATAAACACCATTTTAAATAAAAATGGAAACTAAAGTATCTTAATGTGTACATAGTTTTTTTTCTTAAGAAAGGCAGAGTTACATTTTTATAAATATTGAAATGAACAGATCTATACAGAGAAATCTATCTTCTCAGATGTTTTTCATTTTATAGTATCTACAGAATAAATATTCCATAAAAAGTGACATATTCCCTTCACGGAAATAAATAAAGAGGCAAAAAGCCCAGAGGCATGCCTCAAATTCTGTTACTTTTTTTTCCCCCCTTAATAAGCGCCAGAACAAATTTCCTGCCATTTAAAAATACGGAAGAAAAGATGTGTGCAATGTAAGAGGATCACTATTAGGTCACATGCGAAAAGAAAATACTTTAGATTCTCAAAGTAAGGTCTCAGTTTTAAAAACCCACGGAAGTTAAAACAAATTTTAAACAATTCTAAGTACTGCACACCTCTTCCCAAGAAGGAAAAAAAAATGTGTAGCCCAATAAGAAATACTGCAGAACTCAAATAGCTTCAGAAATGCAGAAGAACCAGCAGCTCTGCCACCTTCCATACATCAGTCAAGTTCCTTGGTTATATACATGCCTTTCATTTGCAGAGCCATGAAGGTACTTCTCTCCCCTGCCACTCACTGTGTCTTACTGTAAACATGCACATACACACAGCAGTCTCAATCATTAACATAAATCATAATTACTTGGGTTATAACTGTTACAAATGCAAGGACAGGTCTCTTTCATTTGGGTGGCTGATTCAGTCACTTTGGGATGGGAACAGTAGCATCCCTTACATCCCCAACCTACATCTTCTTTACTTTCTTTTTTTTTTTTTTTTAAGATGTATTTATTATTATTGCAAAGTCAGATATACAGAGAGGAGGAGAGACAGAAAGGAAGATCTTCCATCCGATGACTCACTCCCCAAGTGATGGCAAAGGCCAAAGCTGAGCTGATCCAAAGCCAGAAGCATGGAGCCTCCTCCGGTTCTCCCACACGGGTGCGTGGTCAAGGCTTTGGGCCATCTTCAATTGCTTTCCCAGACCACAAGCAGGGCGCTGGGTGGGAAGCAGGGCTGACAGGGATTAGAATTGTGTCCATATGGGCCACCAAACTACATTTTAAATATGCAACCCAGACAGCTTTTTCATACCCAACATCACCAGGAAAAACTAGTCTCAAAAGTTCAATGATCTGGGGTAAAAAGGGGTAAGGCCACAGCCAGCAATGCCAGCATCCCACATGAGTCAGTTGCTCCACCTCTGATCCAGCTCCCTGCTAATGGCCTGGGAGAGCAGTGAGGAATGGTCTAAAGTGCTTGGACCCCTGCACCCACGTGACATACAGAAAAAAAGCTCCAGGCTTCTTTCTGGCTTTGGCCTGGCCTAGCCTTGGCCTTGCTTACCTTCAATAAGGTTTAACTTGGAGTTACTTACAGTATTTTTGACTTAACCGCTTAGATTTTCATCTGGAAAATGCAGGGACAAAGAGTTTCCTTATCAACTGTGCTCCACCAGCGCTGTGGTACAGCAATTAAAGCCACCACTTTTGACACTGGCCTCCTAGATACAAGCCAGTTCAAATCCCGCTGCTTTACTTCTGATCCAGCTCCCTGCTAATGTGCCTGGAAAAAGCAACAGCAGATGGCCCAAGCACTTGGGCCCCTGTACCCACAAAGGAGACCAGAGCCCCCACAGGCTCCTGGTTTCTCACCTGCCCAACTCTGGCAACTGCAGCCACTCCAGCCATGAACCAGAGGAGAGAAGAATGCTCTTCTCTCTCCCACTCTCTAATACTAATTTTTAAATAAATAAATAAGTCTTCAAAACAAAACAAATTGTGCTTCACTCCCACACTACAGACTCAAGATTTTCAGTCTGTTCTTTCCACAGGACCATTCTCTGGTCAGCAAGTTCAAGGTGAGACCCTCAGTGATTCTAAATGGAGCAGGGCAAGGAGGACGCCTGAGCTGAGTTCTGGATGGCGATCTGTGCTGAGGACCTCTGGGGAGAACACCCAGAGGGCAGAGACCTTTCCTTGGACTTCTGAGAGTCAAACACCCGAACAATGGGGAGCACTGCTGTATGCACAGCGAAAGAGTGACAAGAATGTCAGGGAGCAGTTGGAGAGAAAAAAGTTGGAACTGTCATTAAACTGTATGAGGTGTTACTTAGAAGCATCATAGCTAATTTCACTTTAAATGCAGAACTAAACTTAAAGCTGAAATTCCCTCTAGATCCACTCTGGGAAAGCTTTTTGTGGATCTGGTAAAAAGCCTCCACAACAGGAAGCACTAAGCTCATTGCACTCTCAGAATTCTATGGAAAGCCACGAAATAAGGAATGACTTGTGGCTGAGTTCATGCATCTTCAAATCAGATGTCTTAAGAGTGCTTTACCAAGGAAGTCCCCCAAATCTTCTTAAATGGTGAAACAATTTCCTCTAAACCACTCAGTGTACTTCATAAGCTTGAATTCTAGTCATAAAGAAAATGGCTATAAAACATCCTCATTTTGCAATAAGAAAAAGTCAGACTTAATAGATTAAGTTGGTATAACAGAAAGAGTACAGATTGTCTACCTATGCAGATTTAGGTTCAAATCCCAATTCTACCACTTTAAAACACTTAACTGAGGTCTCTAGTTCATCTTAGCATTTATAGAAGTGGTAACTGAAGTTATTATCCAAAACTATAGTTGTATAACAGAAAATAGTAAACAAACAAACAAAGAGCCTAATCCTTTGAACTTGCAAGTCTAAAACTACCAAACTTCTACAGACAAGAATATATTTTGGGGCCCGGCGCGGTGGCGCAAGTGGTTAAGGTCCTCGCCTTGCACGCCCAGGATCCCATATGGGCGCCGGTTCTATCCCGGCAGTCCCGCTTCCCATCCAACTCCCTGCCTGTGGCCCGGGAAAGCAGTCGAGGACGGCCCAAAGCTTTGGGACCCTGCACCCGCGTGGGAGACCCGGAAGAGGCTCCTGGCTTCAGATCGTCATAGTATCGGCCGTTGCGCTCACTTGGGGAGTGAATCATGGGACGGAAGATCTTCCTCTCTGTCTCTCTTCCTCTCTGTATATCCACCTTTCCAATAAAGAAATAATAAAAATAAATCTTTTTTTAAAAAAAGAATATATTTTGGTGTTTGTAACTATCAGGAGTGGTTTAACAAGAATACTTTCAACCTACCCCTAATTCCTACTTCTCAAATGGGGCTTCTATTCCTCAGATAGCCTTCCAGGAGCCCTGTTACTTCCTCACCTTTGTCTTTCAAATAAATACAAAATAAACCTTTAAAAAAATGCACCTACTACTATGTTCAAACATACCTCTTTTCTTCAACACCTCTCCCAATCTTCCTTCTTAAAAATATTTCTCCTTCAGCCCTAATACTTTCCCTAGATCTTTGGCCTAACATCAGCCAAGAAGCTACTTACACAAAAACTTTCTGGTTTGCAAAGACTTGCCTGAACCTTAATTCTCATGCACATTTGATCTTGGAGTAACTATTTAGATACACAATGCCTACTGCTCTGTCTTGAGCAAAGACTGAAGACACCAAACTAGAAATTGGCCTGAAATTGGTCTGCAGCTCAAATTTTCCGATTCTGATTTCAATACTCTCTCTACTCAACTTATAAAGCTGCTATTTGTGACATATTCCTTCTTTCTACCGTTTATTCATTAAACATGGTATAAACTATCCCTGCACCTTGGTGTCCCCAAAGCACTGTTCTAAAGAACCACTTCCTACGGGACTTTTTAAAGTTCATCAGTTCAGGCTACTCCATGACAGTGACGCCAAAAGTTACTTTCAGTGCTTTTTCTCTGCAGTTTTCCAGTGAGAAGGAATCCTGGAGTGCTACATGAAAAATGCCCAGAGTCCCCGGCCACAGTCCCCCTCCACGCCTTCTCTATCTGCCCTCTTTCCTCCTTTGCAAGTGTGTGACATCCCAGCCGGAACGCATCACAACCACAAACGACCCTAAGACGTCGAAAGGACTCCGCGCCCCACACTGTCTTCCTTGCCAGGCATGGCATAAGCTCCTCGGAATATTCACGAGTGTCTCTCCTCTTTACCCACACTATTTGTCTGAAAAATTTCACATTTCCGAGCCTGCCCTCTTCCAGCATCCTCCCATGCTCACCCGCGTACCTCCTCCTAAACCTTTTAGCCTCCAGGGTTGGCGGGAGATACTTCCTACTCCAGGGTCGCGAGCACCTGGCCGACAGCTCGTCGTTCCGGTGCGGCCAGCAGATCGAAGCCTCTTTTTGGTACTCTCCGACCCCTGAGACCCCCTTTGGGATCTCCACGAGCCGGAGGCCCTTCAGCTCCGTCCCTGCCCCGCCTCCCCGCCCTAGGCGCCAAGTCCTCGGGGCTCGGTCTCCAGGCCTGGGCCGGACTCCGAGGGCCTCGGACGCTGCGGGGATGACGGGAACGGGGCTGCACGGCACTCAGGAAACCGGGCACACCGGGCGCTCGGGCCAGCAGGCTCCGGGCCCGGCCGGGTCCCGGATCCCGTGGCCCGGACTCATCCCTCCGGCTCTGCCGGCCCGCGCCTTCGCGGCCTGCCCCTACCTGATCCAGGTTCTCGTCACTGCCGCTATCCTCTGTGTCTGAGTCGATCACGACGCGGCCTTTCCGCTTCTTTACCATGGTGGTCCCCCGGCTCCCACGCCGGACGCCGCCCGGACTCCCCTCTTGCCCGCCTGCCAGTGGGACCGCCACTGCCGCTGCCGCCGCCGCCGCCGCTCGACCCACACAAAGGCGACCGCGCATGCGCGCTCCGCTCCGCCCCTGGCTCCGCCCCCCGCCCGGCGCACGCCGTTCGCCAGAGCCTTTCGCCCCGCCCCGTCGCACCCCCGACGCAACGTGGGAGGCGGGGCCACGCGCCTGGCGGAGTTCCGGGTGGAGGACAGCAGTGGCTTGCTGGCGCGGGGAGGGCAGCGTTGCTTGTGCCACCCGAGCTAGGTAGACTGCTTCGCTGTTCTAGACTGGAGTCTAAAAGACTCGAGTTCGCTCCGAAGAGGCTCTTGCGTCTCCAACGTTTCGACTGTCAGAATGATGAAGTGTGTAGAGCGGCTTCCGAGGCCGCCCCCTGGAAGACACCTGCCGCCCAGCCGCCAACCTGAGTTGTGGAAATGACATCTGCGGAAAATGCGCCTGAGTTGCTTAGCAGACGAATAGAGTAAGATTGTAGCAAGCAGACAGCAGCGTGGACAAAGGCCCCAACAATAACAAAGTTGGTTCATGGAACAGACAGTTCATTATAGCTGGAGCGGAGGGTGTAGGGATCAGAGGGAGAAGACCTGGGTGAGATGCTGCAGCCACATCCCTCAGAGCCTAGTTAGCTCTATTAGAGAATTTGAACAGTAGTCCTAAAATACTTTAAGCTGAAGAACGAAAGGGCGGAAGTTTACGCCGTTAACTCTTGCTACACCATGACTAACAGAGGGAGGGAGACCGTGGGTGGGGGGGATAGTTGGGCTGTTGATGTTTTCCTAGCTGTAGATTATGGTGTGCAGAGCCAGGGAAGAAGGAATGGGGATGGGGAGAAGCAGGTGGGATATGGATTATTCAGGAGGCAAATCCTGCAGTTTTCCGATGTTAGTTGGGGGAGGAGTTAGGAAGGAGAGGCCCCAGACATGGATCATATTCAGCTCCTCACTTAGAGCCATTCATCAGACTGGAAAGCAGTAACACATAGACACACACAAAGAAGAAGGTTTGAACGACTGGTGGTTGAAGGAAACAGTCCAGTTTGATCCTTGCTGAGTTTGAGGTCATCTGGTAAAGTTCATTCCAGAAGTGATTTCCTTGTGGCCTATGAAATACAGGGTAGAGGGCATAAAAAATAGTATATTGAGAGTGATGTCAGAACTCTTTATTCTGATTGAGGATAATGTGACTTGAAGATTTTCTGCCTTATATTGGTGAGAAGACAATTGAGTAGAAACCATATTTGAAGGTTTGATTTTTTTTTAATTTTTTTTTAAAGATTTATTTATTTTATTACAAAGTCAGATATACAGAGAGGAGGAGAGACAGAGAGGAAGATCTTCCATCCGATGATTTATTCCCCAAGTGAGCGCAACGGCTGGTGCTGTGCCGATCCAAAGCCAGGATAGAGGAACTTCTTTCAGGTCTCCTATGCGGGCTCAGGGTCACAAGGCTTTGGACAATTCTCTACTGCTTTCCCAGGCCACAAGCAGGGAGCTGGATGGGAAGTGGAGCTGCCGGGATTAGAACTGGCACCCATATGGGATCCAGGTGCTTTAAAGGCGAGGACTTTAGCCACTAGGCCACTACTCTGGGCACAGAGAAATTTTTTATCAGCTGATTTATTCCCTCAGTGCCCACAATAGCCAGGCCTGGGCTGAGCCAGGTTGAAGCCAGGAATTCCATCCAAGTTTCCCTCATGGTGGCAAGAATCCAAGTACTTAAACCATGATCCTCTGCCTTCCAGGGTATATAACAGGAAGCTGCTCAAACGTTGAAGCAAGGCTCAGTCCCAGGCATTCCAGTATGGGATGTGGGCATCCCGAGTGGGGTCCTAACCTGTTATACACCAACTCCTTTTTCATGTTCCTCTTGGCTTATGATGCTGCTTTCTCGAGGTTTTGTTCTTACCCTTGGGGCTTCTCTTTCTCAAGCTGTCCCAGTTTTCTCAGGCTGTCCTTTGAATTTCATTTTTCCATTGCTGCAGTTTGAATGTCCCCTCTAAAACGCATATGGGGCAAGGAGCACTGTGGCATAGCAGGTAAAGCCAGCACTTATCTCCTGCATCCTATATGCTCAGGAGCTGCTCAATCTCCAGAGCAATGAGTCAAATACATAAACTTGTCTTGTGACTACTCTGCTTCTAATAGTCTATTACAGCAGCGGCAAACGAGGTAAAACTGTTTTCTCTTGTCACCCTGCAGACTCCTGTTTCCACATCTTGCCTGGCAGTCAGACGTATATTGAGCGGATGAATTATTGCCATTAGAAAGACCAGGGCCTGATACGAACCCCAGGACTATCTAACCAACCAGCTATCACCTGGTCTCCAGGTATGTCAGCAGATCTAGCACTTCTTCCCTCCCCTGTGCCCTACCATGCTCTCAGGTTAGTGTGCCCAAACTCATCTCCAAGCTGGCCTATTCTCTTTCACACCTCACATTAATCATTGTCCATCCAGTTCTCCAAACTTGCTCCCTGTTAACGCTCCCCAAACTGTCACTCATATGCTTCTGTAGCCTCCCGATTCTGTCTCCTTAGAGCTATGTCCCCTTCCTCCGGCCCCTTTGCTTAATGCTCTCTGCTGTGTGTATTATCTTAATCTCTTTATCTTATCCTAAGTCTCTGTGCATGTTTTGTTCCATATAATCATCATGTGGCTCATTTTTTAAAAGATTTTTTATTTTATTTTTATTACAAAGTCAAATATACAGAGAGGAACAGAGACAGAGAGGAAGATCTTCCATCCGATGATTCACTCCCCAAATGGCCACAACGGCCAATGCTATGCTGATCCAAAGCCAGGAACCAGGAACTTCGTCCAGGTCTCCCACACGGGTGCAGGGTCCCAAGGCTTTGGGCTGTCCTCAACTGCTTTCCCAGGTTACAAGCAGGGAGCTGGATGGGAAGTGGAGCTGCTGGGATTAGAACCAGCACCCATATGGGATCCCGGCGCATTCAAGGTGAGGACTTTAGCCACTAGGCCACGCTGCCGGGCCCCATGTGGTTCATTTTTGAGAGCATTTAAGGAGTTATGCCTGGCCATATTTCCCCTGTCCTTGGGCTTGATGTATAATGTACTTGGTGGCAGAGTATGGGCCAGACCACTTTCACAAGTGTTTCAAACTGCAGTGCAAATGTATCTTCAGGTCATGAAATCAATTTAGTAACAAGAAACCATTAATTTTTTTTTAAATTTCACATACACCAGCTAGAACTAAAGCCTAGTCTAATTGACCCCCAACAAAACCCACCAGACTCACACCCCATCCCTGGTTCATGTGCTTGCCAGTATGTGCATCAGACTGGTCCAGTCTGTCCCACATCCCACTGAGCTGTCATACATATCAGTGGGAGTTGAAGTCCAGCTCATAACAGCCAACCCCACCATCCAGCCCACACTTATACAGGCAAGTACCACCAGCTGTTTAGCCAAGTATGCCCCAGACTTGGTTCTCATGTTTACTAATGGGAGTTGTAACCTGTCAGAGAGGTGCCGACATTTTCATCACTGGACCTACTCCCAGTCCTGAATCTTGCCTCTCACGGTGGTTCTGCAGTCTACTTTCACAATATTTGCCTGCCCTGCCGTTCCCTCACTTGCCAGCTGATACTTTGGCAAAGCCTAACCAGCCTGCTCTTACTCCGCCTATGCATGCAGCAATGGTAGTCTGTTAGCCCAGGCTGGCTCTCGCCCTAACCCACTTCACATGTAGGCCAACAGGTGCTATAGCCCTGCCCAACCTGTCAGCCCTGAATCCCAATTCTCACACTCAACAGTGAGATCGGTAGCCCAGCAGGAAAGCACATACACAGCATCCCTACGGGGAAACCACCTCCCACCTGGGTCTCCTGCCAATGGGTGCTGTAGCTTGGGTAAGCCCAGTCTGCCCCCAGTTCCACCTCATGCTGCTAAGTGCTATAGCTTAGCTCAGCCCAGCAAGCCCCTGTCTCAGCTCTAACGTGAACTGGCTGATGTTGCTGCCTAACTTGGCCTGCCCTGCACCCAGTCCTGTTTCTTGGATCTGTCAGCAGGTATTATGAACTGGCCCAGCGTGGCCCACCCCAGACCTGATCCACACATATGCCAGCCCTTTGGCCAGCAGGTACCATAACCTGGCCTGGTCTGGGCTGCTCCTTGCCTTGGTTCTTGTGCTCACCTACAGGGACTGCATCGTGACAGAGGAGTTTCCTAAGCTCCTCTATCAGGTCACCTCCCACTGGCACACCGGTGAGTCTTTGGCCCAGCCTGACTTAGTCCACTTCCTGTCCTGGCAGGAACAGTGGTCTTGCCCAACTGGCCCACACCCCATCTAGTTCCTATTGTTGGGTACTACAACCCAGCCATACCTGGTCCATGCCCAAACCCAGTTCTTGCATGGTTCAGCAGGTTCCAAGACCTAGCCCAGCCCATCCTGCACTCTCCCTGGCTCTCACAAGCACCAGCAGGTGCTGGAATTTAACTCAATCTGGCACACCTCAGGCCTAGTCCATACCCATGCTGAGGGACACTGCAGTCAGGTCCAGCCCAGATTGCTGCCACCATTCCAGCTCTTGTGCTCAATAGTGGGAACCACAACCCAGCCAGGGCATCCCTTTAGCTCCTCAGCCAGGCCTGTTCCCAACCACAGATCTTGGCACATGCAAGAGGTTGCTCTGCCCCAGCTAGGCGTAGCCCATCCCTTGTCTTGACGTTTGTCATTGGATGCTGCAGCCTGGCTTGGCCTCTCCTGCCCTGAGTGCCAACTCTCACTGGTGGGTGCTGCAGCCTACCCCTGCCCATTCAGCTCCCATCCCTGGCTCATGCAAATGGTAGGTGTGATAGCCTAGTCTGCCATGACCCACACTCCAACCTGGCTCCTACACATTCCAGTGAGCTAAGTTTGGCCTGGCCCTGTCTGTTTTTGGCCCTCTTCCAAAACCATTCCACACACATGCTGGCAGGTGAAGCTGCCCTGCCCAGCCTGACCAACAGCTAGGCCTGAATCACATGCTCCCCAGGGGTAGCTATGGTCCACCAGGGGAGTTTCCCAAGTTCCCCCACCAGGCCCACTCCCAGACCC